TCGTTTCCTATTGTGAACTCCATAACCATCCTATCAATGTTTACATACACATGACATCTCATGCAATATAATAAATTATACTGGATATTTCAAATTAAATTAAAACCTTACAGAAGACCTTTCCTGTAACTGAATGATATTCAATTAACAGGCAACCTATTGACAGAATCCACATTATCACCAATAATCCATTCATGGTGACAGCCATGCCAGAAGACTATTTCCCCTAGTCATCATTTAATGTGGTCTAACCCATGCATCATTCAATGCCCTGGTCAGTTTCACCTTGCAATAGTTTTTACCAAGTTTCATACTACCAATTCAAAATGTGTTCAGTAAACATTCATTAATATAAATGAAGTTTAAAGACTCTCTTCCAAAGGATAACACTAACTGTTCTTGGTACGAAATTTGTACATCCATACTACTGGGAGGTCATCTGAGAGCCTCCTGAAAATCTTCTGCCCAGTCAGCCAAAATGGCCACAGGCTGCTTGCATCATCTCACACTGTGCACACTCAAGACTCATCCCATGGTTTACAAATCAACAGCCTATATACACTTTACGATTTCACAGAAATGTAACTACAATAAATCGGACAGCTACGTAAAAGTGACCCTATGCAGCCCACTAAAATCCTGAGCATTATGTTGCTACTGTATTTGACCTACACAATAAGCCGTCAAGGCTTAATCATGTTATTTCCTGTGCCAAAATGCCACAAGCGAGTTCCATACTGGAGCAACATGTGCTCATACATAATATCTGCATCAAAGTGGTGTAAGAAAAGTAAGAAGATCCTGGAATAAAGTACACCATGTCACTTTCTAATACAAGAACTATTCATACAATTAAGTAAATTAAGACAGGCGGGGTCTCAAGTGGACAAATCATCATCATCATCATCATCATCATCATCAATCTGTCAAGATGACAGGTCCAGTCTCTTCCAAAACAGTTCCTCCACTTGATGCGATCTAGAGCTTTCTCCTTAAAATGAAAATATCCTCTTCTGTCCCCAAGGTCATCCAGCATCTTCTTACGTCTTCTTCGTCTTCTGGTCACTTCTATCCGCCCCTCTATCTTTCCTTCAATAACTTCTTTTAGAAGGCAGTTACCGCGTAAAATATGACCAATCAAATTAGCCTTCCGTTTTCGTATTTCATGTAGAATATTCTTCTGCTCACTGACTCTAAATAACACTTCTTCATTTCTCACATAATCGGTCCAACTGATCTTCTCCATCCTTCTCCAACACCACATTTCAAAGCTTTCCAGGTGTTTCTGATCTTCTGCCCTAAGTGTCCACGTTTCAGCCCCATACAAGGCATACAAAATAAAGAGCTAAATCAAACGATCAATGAAAAGAAATGAAATCAGTGCTATGCTTGAACTTTCTCTTAAAGCCGACGACTTCCCTGTATTAAGCCTTAGAATAGTTATTTTGGTATAAACTTTTGAAGTTGGATATTTTGGCTACTTCAAGCTCTTATAACCGGCCTACCTTTTTTCTTGGCATTTACTTGGACATCTTCTGATGGGAAGATACACAATCAAATAGACCATATTTTGATAGACAGGAGACGGCACTCAAGTATACTTGATGTCCGATCATTCGGAGCAGCAGATTGTGATACTGACCACTACCTGGTGGTGGCAAAGGTTAGGGAAAGACTGGCAGTGAGCAAACAAACAACACACATATTTCACATGGAGAGGTTCAATCTCAAGAAATTAAATGAGGTAGAGGATAAAGAGCAGTATTGTGTTGAAATCTCAAATAGGTTCGCGGTTTTGGAAAAACTGGAAACTGAGGTGGATGTTAACCCTTACACTGCTGCAGTCGACATATGTCAATCTCTGAAAAATATGGCATCCTTGCTGTGATCGACAAAACCCGTACTGCGACTTTAGAGTTTCAAATCTCAGGTTTCTTTGCACCAATATCATTCAAACTCGGTGGGTGCATAGTCATGTATTAGGAACATAATGAAGCATCATTCATTTCAATGGCTGCATTCCTCTGCCCTCTAGCTTAAGAAATGTAAAAGGTTGCATCTGCACAGCAAGGCACACACTCCGTGGTCACAGGGCACGGGTATTTCATAGGGGTAGTAAAAATGGCTTCGTATAGTGCGCGGTGCTTTCTATAATAGTTTTAAATAAAATTGTGGACTTTGGTCAACATGTGACATACTGATAAGACTATGATAGTGAATTATGTACTTTTTTGGCCATCTTGGACAACCCTGATTTAAATGGACTTTTCCCTGTGAAAAATAATGAATAATTCAACATTTTTGCAACTTCTGATGCCTGTTCCCTGTCTGAGGTAAGATTAGTTACATTTTATCACAAATTCTCATACTCTGCACTTAAATTATTTATAAAAGATTTATTCAAAAATAATTCAGCACAGAGGGCACTAAGAGTTACTTAACATATTAGCAGTGAAAGGGTTAATAAAGCTTGGGAAACTATTAGAGAGAATATAAAAATATCTGCCAAAGAGAGTCTAGGTTATTATGAACTGAAGAAGCATAAGCCATGGTTTGACGAAGAATGCTCAAAATTATTAGATCAAAAAAAAAGAAGGCCAAATTGTAATGGTTGCAGGATCCAAGCAGGTTAAATGGGGATAATCTGAACAATATAACACGTGAAACCAGCAGGCATTTCAGGAACATAAAGAGGGAAATCTGAAAGACAAAATTGATGAGCTTGCAATGAACAGTAAGAACAAGAACATTACAGACCTGTATAGAGGAATAAATGACTTTAAGAGGGGTTACCAACCTAGCAGTAACTTATTGAAGGATGAGAATGGTGATGTGCTTGCAGATACCCACAACATTTTGAATAGGTGGAGGAGCTACTACTCTCAGTTATTGAATATACATAGGGTCAGTGATGTCAGGCAGACAGAAATCCATACAGCTGAGCCGTTAGTACCTGATCCTAGCCCTTTTGAGGCTGAAAGTGCTACTGCAAAATTGAAACAGTATAAATCGCCAGGTAGTGATCAAATTCCGGCAGAACTTATTCAAGCATGAGGCGAAATATTACATTCTAATATCCACAAGCTAATTACTTCTATTTGGCATAAGGAAAAATTGACTTATCAGTGGAAGGAGTCTATTATTGTACCAGTTCACAAGGGTGATAAAACTGACTGTAGTAATTATCGGGGAATATCACTGCTATCAACTTCATACAAAATTTTATCCAATATTCTTCCCTCAAGGTTAAGTCCATATATAGATGACATTATTGGGGATCATCAAGTGGGTTTTGACGTAACAGATCAACTACAGATGAGATCTTTCGCATTGTCGGATATTGGAAAAAAAAAATGGTAATACGATGAGATGGTACATCAGCTATTCGTAGACTTCAAGAAAGCCTATGATTCAGTTTGGAGAGAAGTATTGTACAATATTTTGATAAGAGTTTGGGATTCCCATGAAACTAGTTAGGTTGATTGAAATGTGTTTAGGCGAAATGTATAGTAAAGTCCATGTAGGTATATATTTGTCTGATAAATTTCCTATCCAGAATGGTCTAAAGCAAGGAGATGCTTTATTGCCACTCATTTTCAACTTTGCCTTAGAATATGCAATTAGGAAGGTCCAGGGAAACCAGGTGGGACTGAAATTAAACAGGACACATCAGCTGTTGGCCTATGCGGACGATGTGAAACTACTGGCTGATAATGTAGATACCATAAAGAAAAACACACAAACTTTAATTGGCACAAGTAAACAGGTTGGTCTAGAAGTAAACACAGAGAAAACTACGTATATGTTGCTGTCTCAACCAAAATGCAGGGCAAAATCATGACATAAGGATAGGAAACAGATGTTTTGAAAATGTGGCACAGTTTAGATACTTGGGAACAATGATAACAGATCAAAACCTGATTCAGGAGGAAATTAAAAGAAGACTGAATTCGGAGTAATGCTTGCTACCATTCAGTCCAGAACCTTTTATCTTCTTGTCTACTATCCAAAAACATAAAAATTAGAATATACAAAACTATAATTTTGCCTGTGGTTCTATATGGGTGTGAAACTTGGTCTCTGACACTAAGGGAGGAACTAAGGGTGTTGAGGAGAATATTTGGTCCGAAGAGGGATGAAGTGACAGGAGCTTGGATAAAACTGCACAATGAGGAGCTTCATAACTTGTACTCTTCTCCAAGCATAATTTGAATGATCAAGTCAAGGAGGACGAGGTGGGCAGGGCATGTACACGAATGGGGGAGACAAATGCGTATAGGATATTGGTGGGAAAGATAGAAGGAAAGAGACCACTGGGAAGACCAAGGCATAGGTGGGTGGACAATATTAAAATGGATCTTAAAGAGATAGGACAGGATGGTATGGATTGGATTGATCTGGCTCAGGATAGGGACCAGTGGAGGGCTCTTGTGAACACGGTAATGAACCTTAGTGTTCCATATAATGCTGGGAAATTCTTTTCATTTATCACTGAGGCTGTTCGCATACTCATTACAAATTTTAGGTTCAAATCCAATTTCACACATTTCCTTCGCGCAAATACGTAAAAATATTCCTGCTGCGAGATTTTCATTAACACCTAACGTGAATAATTTGGGACCATGCAACTATTTACCAAACATAACACTTAAATCGTAAGGAATTCCAATACCTTCGACCAATCACCAAACAGGCACAACAGAGCACGATACCCACCGGCATCGGCGTCAGTTATCCGCGCATTACACTGTACATACACAACGAGCTCAATGCTAATGGCTCTAAACTATAACTAATCAACATACCAAACATTAATCCGCTTTTTCCGGTACACTCCCATATACAAAAGATTTAACCGAGAACATGCATGCCATATCGGCTTCCTACCTCTCGCAATAATTATTCCCAATGTGCATCTTCCAACTTTGGTGTCATATATTTCCAATTTGTATATTATTTCATTCGCTATAATTATATATATATCTATAGCACAAACTTACCCCTTGTCATCATTGTCCATAACCTCCGTTTTAACTCTCATTTTATATGCTGAATGTATCGTATATTTATGAAACTTCTACACCACCTCCCTTACACACTGAACTAATGGCTTCACATCAACGGGGAAACAACGCTACGTACAAGGCCTACGACCACTGCATCCGCTTACGTCATAACTACGTTATCAATGTAGTCTCCGTTCACATATTAAGCTGTTACTAATGTATAATACTCCAATAAGCCAAAATATTTTTCATTATTAAATTACCAAAATAATATTGTCAAATTTATCGAAAATTAATCGAATTACTGTAGAGAGAGTAGTTTTAAACTGTTAATGATTTTTACTGGAGAATAATTTCCCGCAAATATTCTGATGGTGACTAAACACATTTTGTTTCTCTCTATATCTGTCATTTGTTTTCTTGTGAAATGGTACAAATTCAATTATTATTCAAGCTAATCATTGTGTTTATCTTAAATTCCACAATTATAGCTAAAAGCAGTAACATCGACTTTTCAGACATTTTCGAAATGTAAAACCGGTAAGTTGTCACCTCTGTCATTGTCTCAATAAAGACTATGGCAGAGAATTAAATAGTTCGTTTGTTATATATATAGTTATTTATGTTGTCAGTTAGTTGGTTGTTAATAAATTATGAAGAATATTTATGAACGATCACTATAGGCCTAGAGGCCATAAGCTACATAGGACAGCTTATTTCTCCTTCAACACCGAGTATCACTAACATGCTCTGCCCAGCCTAGAGGATATTTAATCAGTGATTTGATAGTTTGATAACTAGTGACGATTTGCGGTCTTTATGGCTATGAGGAGTAAAATTGTAGTATCCTAGGTTGTAACATCCCTCCATAAGCTTGTAGGTGGGTACCAACGTTTCGAAGGAACATGTTGCCTCTGTTTTCAAATTTCAAGTGAGTCAAGTTGGGGAGGATGAGATCCAGGTAGGCCAGTGGTATCTTTAGGCCTTGAAAAGGGCTACCACGCCAGAGCAGGAGGTTGAATGGAAAGACGGCGGTTTAGCATTGTTCCTGTATTTTGGACAATGACTGGCGCAATGTCAGGAATGACTGGTGGAAGTTTCAAATGGTGTTATCTAACATTTCAGTTTTGAAGACCTAACTTATTCAAAGCAAGGCAAATACAGGCCAGCTCATAGATTTGAAACAAAATAACAGTTCTGTATTCGTTGCCTCGGGAACTTGTTTACCGAGCCGTTACCTAGCTATGATTGGCTGGGGGGGGGGGCACACACATGCAGCAACGTGATCTCTTAAGGAAAGTAGGCCGAAACGATTATATAGCTTCTTGTGGTTGATTGCAAAATTCTGCATAGTTTACAGCCGAATCTCTGTTCCAAATCGCATATGTGATATGAATGTGTTAGTCTTTTGTCACCATCTGTAATCCTATTCGGTGCAACAATCCTTCCCCCATACAACAGGCAGCTAAGTCGTGAAGCAATCAGTGTATTTCTTTTTACGGGTTGATTAACGACGCTCGTGTCGAGACTATATACAGTAGAATATTAGGGCGATAGGTGAATAACGATTAATTGGAAAGTACATGGGAAGGTGGCTGTCGTAGACTAATCGAGGTACTATCCAAGCCATCCAGGCATTGCCTGGAGGGACTGAGAAATCCACATTCTCAATCGGCATAGCCCATGTCTAGGCCGAGATTGAAACCGAGCACCTCCAAAATACAATGAAGTCTGATGTGTTACCTCTAGACCATTCTTTTCTGGGAATCCATATAAAATACTGTCAGGGAAGAAGCTGCTCCCTTCTTGGATTGAACCTAGGCAGTATGTTTTATTGAATATCTTTGACGGAATGTCGCATTCCTTTAGCATTGCTCATATTGTATATTGACCACTGCTTCGACGAACAGTTCATCTAGCGGTAACGTTTTAGGCTTGTATTTAGGAGGTGCTTGGTTGGAATCTCGACTGGGATACCGACCAAACACACCAATGGTTTTCTTCGTATTCCGCAGTCTTTCCGCACAAATGCAGGAACAGTACTTCGACAAGACCATGACAGCATCCTTTTAAGTACTTTCCCATTCATCAGATTCCGTACCATTAGACGCTCTGAACTCTTGATGAAGCACCGTAAAATTACCCAAGCAAGAACATTCTTTTTGGGGAATCCATATAAAATACTGTCAGGGAAGAAGCTGCTCCCTTCTTGGATTGAACCTAGGCAGTATGTTTTATTGAATATCTTTGACGGAATGTCGCATTCCTTTAGCATTGCTCGTATTGTATATTGACCACTGCTTCGACGAACAGTTCATCTAGCGGTAACGTTTTAGGCTTGTATTTAGGAGGTGCTTGGTTGGAATCTCGACTGGGATACCGACCAAACACACCAATGGTTTTCTTCGTATTCCGCAGTCTTTCCGCACAAATGCAGAAACAGTACTTCGACAAGACCATGACAGCATCCTTTTAAGTACCTTCCCATTCATCAGATTCCGTACCATTAGAGGCTCTGAACTCTTGATGAAGCACCGTAAAATTACCCAAGCAAGAACAGCAAGAACGACTTCGATAGCATTAGCTACGTGTAAACGGACACATGCAGTGCTTGCAGTGAACCTTGTATTCCCTGTATTTGATACTGGACGGTTGTGACATCTAGTGGTGGTCGCACGAAACAGTATCAGTTATTCCGTGCTTTGCTTCGATGAGAGTCGGAAGGTTGCTCGTAACACGATGCTTCATTGTTAAGTGGCTTTAATGTGGTAGTTGTATAATTTGACCCATATATCATCTTGTGTACAGAATTAAGGGAAGTGAAAAGTAACGTCTTCAAGTGCAAGGGTTTTTCTTGTGTTGTATATAAGTGTGCCGCGCCCGCAATTGAAATGCGCATGCCTGTGCTTTGAATACTGGCAGCGCGTAGTACAACGAAGAATAATATGCAATCATGGGATCACTGGCGCAAAGGATGCTGCTGTTCACTACTAAAAACTAAGTTTGTGTTAAATAATGTCAAAAGTCTGTATGGATGAACGCATTTTTTCGTAATTCCAGTATTGTCATCCTTAACGTTCTAATGGAACAGCTGTTTACTGCCACAAATAAGAAATAATGTAAAATTGAAATGTGCAGTGTCTCGTCTGGCAACATGACCGACGAAGTTCTCTAGAAACAAGGTTTAAGTGCCGACGGAAGGAATCCTTAATCGAGCGTGTGTTTATTTGTGCAGAATTTTGTTACCCTAAGTGGTGGGAGTGTACTTCGGATCTTGGGGAGGGGGAGGGTTCACAAATGGCTCTAAGTTGCAGGCGGGAATTAAATAATGCTGCGGACACATTAGTTCTGAAAGTTTATCAGTTTAGCGTGAGCGAAGATGTCATCAAGACTGTCGCACCCGCTGCCTCCTTTGCTGCACCTCCTGGAGACTTCTGCATCACAGTACCACAGTGGATTACTGCGAAGACCATCACAACTCGCAACCTCATTGCCTTCCGATTACGAAGATGCTGACATTCATGCCTTCACGGCGCCGCCTTCCGCCTCTCAGGTACCCAATTGCGGTGCCTCTCGCCATGCTGTCAGCTGCAAGGAGACGCCGGTGTATCCAGGTTATCCTGGGGGTACTAGTAGGGTTGGCGGCAAGTATTTTCGTAACTTCCCGACTACGTATAGGACTTGTAACTGGCAGCGGTGGTGGTAGTGCAAACGGAACTTGTTTAGACCCGAGTGGGTCGTGGCCCTTGCCTGCAAACCCGGAATATAGTTTTCGCGATAGGGATGAAGACGATGCCCTAAGGATTATTGGAATTACAGTTCCAGGTGAATCTGTGCATAATTCAAGGAAAACGCTAATTTTTGTGGGAGTAATGACAGCCCAAAAGTACTTAGCTACACGCGCCCGTGCTGTGTATGAAACATGGGGACAAGAGATTCCTGGACGCATAGCTTTCTTCACGTCTGCTACATCAGTACCCCCTTCGAACAGACCTGATCTGCCAATAGTGCGTCTAAGGGGTGTGGATGATTCGTACCCACCACAGAAGAAATCTTTCCTCATGCTCCAGTACATGTGGGAACGCTATGGGGACCGATTCGAGTGGTTTATGCGGGCTGATGATGATGTCTACGTAAGACCCGACAGGTAAGCACGGCCGTATTGTTAGCGCATCCTGCATACGGACCACAGACCATTTGTGGATGAAGTGGCAAAATCATATATAAGCTTTCGAATAGCTTTCTTGGTAGGGTAGGGGTAGGTGAGTCAGTAAAGTAAGTGGGCTGGATGACCGGTTCTTGATTTCCGGTAGAGCAAGAATTTTTTTTTTTCACCACCGTTTTGGGGGGCTATCCCACCTTCCTATCAAAGTGGAACTGGGAGTTTTCGTCCGGTTGTAAAGCCGTCGGCCCGTGAAGTGTTACCACTCCCCTTCATTTAGTATCGAAGTTAAGAATACGTGGATCCATATCTTCGCTTCCCAGCATCTCAGAAGGGCGTGGAATATCTATATTTTTTTTTTCATCATACGAATATTAACATGTACAAATTCATGGGTAATTTTAGAGAACATTAATTTTATATGTACAGATTTCCAGCCTGCAGCACAACCTATATGGTCACGTATTTTTAGCCCATTTACATTATTTTGAAGGAATAAAAGCAGCCTTATGAGATCATCTTGCTGTCTGTGTGTGTGTATGTCTGTGTATGCATCCCCCATATCAGTTTTGAATGCTTGGACCTATCTTTATGATAGTAGGTATGCATACCATGGCGCCTGGACTCATCTCAGCGGCGTACATCATAAATCGCTTCTGTCAGTCTGCGTATCTGTTTGTGTATACCCCATATCGTTGCTAGGCAACAGCTCGGTAAACATGTTTCCGCGGCAACGAATACGCTCAGCAATAGAATAATTGTTGACTGCGTCTTTTATGTGCGGTCCGTGTCGTATCGAAGGAAAGTAGGAGATCAGTACTTCCCAGAAGTTTTTGTTTGATCATCTTCATGTCCATCAAATTAATTGACACCAGAACTAACTGTCGAGGTTCGTCACATTAACATGCATGCATTAATCAATGTGACAGAAACTAGTCGCACATCCATCCAAAACACATTCCTTTTTTGTTATTGACAAAGCCAGGTACTGTCTGGGAACATCAGTAACATTCTTGTGTTCGGTTCAATGCACCTGATATCTAAAAATGTTACAAATTACAAATCTTTATGTTACGTAGTATAGTGTGTGCTTTAGAACTCCATGTTCAGAAACACAACAAAGCAAGAAGTGAAGAAACGAAACTCAAATGTTCTTCTTATTGGATGACAGTTTTTAGCATTTAAACCGCAATGTTAGCATGCGTGTTATGAAATAATTCAGCGCTGCGTAAATAATCTACACGGAAAACTGGAAATATAAAGTTCTGTACGAAAAACAAATGTTTTTAAATCCCAGATTGTTCTTAAATTGAAAGCAAAAAGAAAAAGTATGCGTTACAGCAGCATTTATGGGGACACCGGTATACTGGTTGCAGAACAGGATGCATGGGCACCCCATTATTCGGGACGTTCAAATTAACGGCCGTGGGGATTCGTTGCGCTGACCACGCGATACTCTCTATCCGCTAAAGTTGGCACTAACTTCGCCGACAAGCGGCGGTCGCTCGGTCGGTATAGTTCGCTTTCGGACTCAAGCCACGGAGTTTGTTTTTTGTTTGTACTCGGTTCGAATCTCGGCCAGGACACCAGCTACCCTGACTAAGGTTTTTCTTGGTTTCTCTCAGTCCATCTATGCAAACACTTGAGCAGTACATCAAGTGTGACACGCCGCCTCCTTCAACCTTTCCAGTTCATCGTTTTATTTATTATCCAACCATTCGACACTATATAATTTAGATACTGAAAGCGTCATTAAATAAGCCACACAGATTCATACTGCCTTCAGTGGGACAGAAGCCGAGATAATTACCAAGGTCTAGCTGTGTGCACTGTGCAAGCTGAAAACACATGAATGAGATTCTGGGATGACCAATGTACTGGTATACTGAAACTACGAGTAATTGTGTCCTTAGATAAACAACACAGCTGTCAAGATTATTCTGCCAAGCAATTCTCTTGCCTTCTCTTCATTGGAGGGTAACAAATACAAACTCCGTGGCCTGTAGTTCGCAAGCGAACTATACCGACCCAGAGACCGCCGCTTGTCGGCGAAGTTAGTGCCAGCTTTAGCGGATAGAGTATGTCACGTGGTCAGCGCAACGGATCCCCACGACCGTTAATCTCGGTTTTCTAGACCGAAGCCGCTGTTTCCTTGAAATAGCTCCTCAGTTATCCTCATGCGTCTGAGTGGACCCCGTTCCATACCCACTACTTCTCAGAAAATCTGGTAACGCCGGAATCGAACCCGGGACCTCTGGATCTGCAACCAGAAACTCTGACCACTAGACCACAGAGGCGGTCCCATTGGAAAGTATATGTATATGTATAAATTAACCTGCGCAGAGTCGTTAAATAAAGTAACAAAGAACGTATGTGGTCGATACAGCGATATTAAGTAACTTGCTAATTGATCAAGTACAGTGATTTCTTGATTTCCGCTATTTCAGTGTAACGAGATTAGAGAATAGCCAATATATAATTTCTTAATTTACGTTGTTTTAGATCTCACTTTAAAGCGATTAGGTGGTCGGTAACACGTAGAGTGGAGGACGGCTGCATGTCGTTGAAGACGGCAGAAGCTGCGCGCAGCGGTGGTAGAAAAACTGAAATGAAATAGTCTTGAAAACACAAAGCAGTTTACATGCATAAATAGTTATAGCCGTTTGGGTTGGATTGGCCCATGTACGCAAACCTCCCCTTCCATTTCCCTTCATTCTTTTTTTTGTGGAGAATTAGCTCTTGATTTAGGCATTTCTAATTTACGTGATATTTTCTAGCAACACATGTACCGCTCAAATCAAGAAATGACCGTAGATCAATGCCGTCCACAGCTTGTAGTTAATTAACTTCATGGAGTTGAGCCCTTCTTGAGAAGCCGCTTATAACGGAGCTACTTAAGAACTTCCCAATATTTTGTGGAACCCGAAGATTCATTAGCGTGTCCACAAAAGCCCTCCATTTGTCCCTATCCTGAACCAGATCAATCCAGTCCATACCACGCCATATTATCTAAGATTTATTTTATTATTATCCACCCACCTACTTCTTGGTCTTCCTAGTGGTCTATTTCCTTCTGGCTTTCCCACGAATATCCTATATTCATTCCTGTTTTCCCCTATTCGTGTTAAATGACCTGTCCATCTCCCACAGCTTGTAGTTACTGTGCAAATTGTATCTTTTATGCACTCCAGATATACTTCTAAAGACAAATAGTTGTTACCTTTCTGGGACACTCCACGATATATTCGGTTGTGTGGCAGGTTGGAACGACTCCTACGTTCCGTTGACAGCCGGAAGCCACAGTTCATTGGGCAAGCCGGACGAGGAAACCAGGAAGAATTCGGCCTGCTCAGCTTAGAGTACGACGAGAACTTCTGCATGGGTGGCCCTGGAGTTCTGCTGAGCCGAGAGACTCTGGCCCGTGTCGCTCCACATGTCAAGACGTGCCTTCGCAACTTGTACACGACACACGAGGACGTCGAGCTCGGACGCTGTGTGCAGAAATTCGCCGGTATACCCTGCACCTGGTCTTACGAGGTAGGAAGTCCTGCAAATCATGTGCCTCAGAAGGCAGCATAATTTACGTAACTAACTGTGTGAAACCGAGTCCTTCTTGTGAAACCACCAGTCACTAGCTACTCAAAAATTTCTAAAGATTTTATGGAACCCTAAAGTTCATTGCCATGTTCACAAGAACCTTCCCCTAGTCTCTATTTTGAGGTAGATTAATCCAGTCCATACCACCCATCCTAGTTCTCAAAAACTTATCCACCCACCGACGTCTAGGTCCTCCTTGGGGTCTCTATCCTTCTGACCACCACCAAAACCCTGTACACGTTCCTCTTCACTCCATGCCTGCTATACGTTCTGCCCATGTCATCCTCCTCGACTGGATCAATCTAATTATATCTGGTGAAGGGTACAAATTATGAAGCTCCTCATTATGCAGTTTTCTCCTCCCTTCTATCGCTTCATCCCTGTTGGGTCAAAGTATTCTTTTCGGCACACTGTTCTCAAGCACCCTCAGTCTGTTCTTCCCTGTGTATCAGAGAACAAGTTTAACATCCATACAAAACTGCAGGCAACCTTATATTTTTGTCTGTTTTAATCTTTAAGATCCTAGACAGCAAACGAGAAGACAAAGTGTTCTGAACTGAAGAGTAGCAAACATTACCCAAATTCAGTCTCTTCTTATTTTCCTCATGGATCAAATTTTGATTTGTTATTTTCGTTCCCATATATCTGAACTTTGCTACATATTCAGGGCATCAAGGCAGCACAATTTAGAGTTAAAAATTGATTGACGTTGTTTAGGAACAAGTTCTGAACAGAATAGTTGTCCTTAAGAGAGCCAAAGCTTATGGATCAATGGAGACAGTTTCATTATAGAATGCTTCGTGCTTCCATACTAGTTACAGGTACAATATAAATATAAATTCTCCCCTGTATAGGGGCTTGAAGGTTAAGAATACATTTTTAACTTCGGCAATAGCTGGAAATAAGCGGTAAAATTGGCATTATAAGGCCCTGCAATAGCCACTGAATAGAAAACTGTGGATCCTCCAAGCATGCTGAACGTTGTGGCAAAAAGAGAAATTCTAGTTCCCTTCTTCGAAATCGAACCCCACTCATTCGGCTTGTAGTCAGTTCTGTACTATGCCTCCGCACTTCTTTTTTTTTTTTTTTTTTTTTTTTTGTGGGNAAAACCTGCCCCAGCGCAATTTTGTCCACCACAAATCCCACTTGACCAGCCCCCGGGATCGAACCCGGGCCGCCGTGGTGGGAAGCCAGCGACTAACCGCTTGAGCTATGGCGAGGCCCGTGCCTCCGCACTTACTCAGTAATTATACGTATCAAGGTGGCTGAAATTCATTGGGAATGTAGCGCGGTTGTTTAGAATACATCCTTCCAAAGGGCTGGAGAACGTTATTGCACTTGGAGGATCAAAAAATGATTCTAAGATTGGGTGAATGTTAAAATGGTCTCGGAGATACAGAGGACTAGATGGGCGAGATATCTGTAGAGAATGGGAACATGAGGTAAACTAAAATGTTGTTCCTATGCTTGATTAGCAAATAGAAATAGAAATACAGCTTTACTCATTTTTAATCTCGACATTAGTTGGTGGTGAGTACTCATCTGTATGTGCTAGCTGCTTTGCTTCCTAGGAAGGGAACATCGTTGCCCATTTCATAGGAGGCTAGGTGGGCCTCAAGCTGGTATGGGCTCTACAGTGAAGGAAAACAATCTCCTTGCCCTGCCGGGGATCGAATCACCATTATTGATTGTCTACAGAGAATGTTTACATGCATTTGGTACGAAAATCTAAAGGGTGTACACAATATGCCACTTCGGATACATGGACTTAAATGAGACACATTGAAATAAATCTTAAAAAATCGGATATGAGATTGTGGATTGGATCATTGTGGCTTAGGATGTGGTGTAGTAACGGGTCTTATGAAGACGGATTCCATAAAAGACTATAAATTGCTTACCCAGCTGAGGGTTTGTTAGCTTCACAAAATTAACAAGCTTTTCAGCTGGATACAACAATCGAATATCGCGATTTTGCGATGAAGGTGAACTGTTTAGAATTCCTGAAACAGCGAAAGAACCTCGAACTGCTCAAAGAAAACCATATGTTGGATTGGTAAACCTTAAAACAGGAAAAAAAAAGTAGCAGTATTGTCTTTCATTATGAAATCGATTATACGATTGCATACTCTTGACAATGGAGTAACCAAACCGTTTCTATAACAGTGTGTTTCTTAACTGTTAACTGTCAGAACGTTCGGTCACTTTCTATAATCATCTGATTTCATACACGCATCTCAAATATTCCATATCCTGTATACTTTAAACTGCTTATCATACAAAAAATGTGAATATTGCATAAAATATGCTGTATTTTCAATAATTTTATTTGGAATATTAACCGATTTTGTGTACATTTAACGAAATACAATAGAATGCCGATTATCCGACTGCCAATTAACCGGCTCTCCGCAACCAAGGAATGCTTCTGCTAAACAAACATCATTGTTGGACTTTTTCAAATAAAGTGTTGGAAAGTGTTAATTTATAATTCTTCATCTTCTTCTTCATAAGGCTCGACAGCTTCATTTCTTGAACGCTTTGGTCTACTCAGTAATTTGTAATTACATTTATTAATTTTTTATGTTTCGTCTGTTTTGAAAGTATTCTAGTTTGTATTATTATAATTGTACAGTATATTATAATAGTGTTATGATTGTGTTTTCTTGTGGATAAGAATTTAATCCAATCATCTGAATTTTCGATTATCCAAACCACCTTTGTCACTAATTAATTCGGATAATCGGCGTTCTACTGTGTGAAGAATGACGAACTCTAGCCACTTTGGATTCGTACTTACGAACTCTCACTGTTTTTGTTACTGATGTTGTGCACCATTGTAATCCACAACGTTGTTTCTTAACACAGTGCAGTCAATTAAAACACAAGTTCTCGAAATCAGATTAAATTCATCATTGTTCCGGCATGTTTCGTCACTTACAATGTCATCCACGTGGGTACATGTACTTCGTAGTATAAAGGAAAACAGCTCGGGTTATTTTTCATTAATGTACATAATTTTGCAAATTTTGAAAGTCTTATATGTCTTATGTATAAAATAACATCTTATATTACAAACAACGCATATTAAAATTCCTATATGCACTTGAGTTTTCTTGTAAGAACTTACATGGCTCTTGACCTATTACATAGACCATAGTGACGTTCAGTAAGAATATACATTGACCTTAGATCGGTGTAAGTGTGAAACTATCTCTTAGCGTGTTTGCAGCTACACCTAGTTGCTTATGTATAACTAATTATATGTCCCATAAGATAATATTATACATGTCGAAACATGTTGGGGCAATGAAGAATTTAGTCTGATTTCAAGAACTTGTGACAGTCCAAACCTGTCACAGTTCTTCCTGGGTGCTATTGTCCCCTTTCGCCATTTCGCAAGGGAAAACTGATTTATTGTCGAGGCTGATTTACTGGCGACTTATGACTTGTACCTCATATCTGGGCCGAAGACAACTGCCTTTTTCTTACATTCCGTCTGAATGACCAGAAAGGGACCAAGTCACCACGCGAGGCAAGTCTGTAGCGTTCTGAAGACATGATTTTTTTGACATGCATAAACAAAGGAAAATCCGTGGCCTGTAGTCCGCAAGCGAACTATAAAGGCCGAGCGACCGCCGGTTGGCGGCGAAGTTAGTGCCAAATTTAGCGGCTAGAGGGTGTCGCGAGGTTAGCGCAACGAATCCCCACGGCCGTTAATTTCGATTTTCTATACCGGAGCCGCTGTTTCCTTGAAATAGCTCCTCAATTATCCTCACGAGTCTGAGTGGACCCCGTCCCAGACCCACTACTTCTCAGAAAAATCTGGTAGCCACGGGAATCGAACCCTGACCTCTGGATCTATAGCCAAGAACTCTGACCACTAGACCATAGAGGACATGCATAGATGTCACAGTTCGTCTTCGGAAAAGTGTAGCAGAACCATGAACTGAAGAATGTAACTTCTTTCACATGGGGGTCCGATTTCTGTCGCTTGGGAACTGCTTTATTCTCAAAAGTCTTTACGTGAATGGCTTATGCGGATTGCATAATGACTTGGCTAGTTAAAGTCAGCCAGTTTGAGACAAATTCTTCTCTGGGAGGGGATATCGTCCATTCAAATCGTTCTTGGATCTTCAGTACCTTAAGATATCTGTAAAGCTTCGTATTATATTGCTCTTATATAGGTTAATTTACATAAAAAAAATGTGCTTACTTACTTACTCATGGAGCTGAGCCCTTCTAGAGGAACCGCCAATTCTGCAGCTACTCAAGAATTTCCCAGCATTTTAAGGAATCCGAAGGCTCATTACAGTGTTCACAAGAGCCCTCCACTGGTCCCTATCCCGAGCCAGATCAATCCAATCCATCCTATCCTATCTCTCTAAGATCCATTTTAATATTGTCCACCCACCTACTCCTTGGTCTTCGCAGTGGTCTCTTTCCTTCTGGCTTTCCCACCAATATCCTATATGCATTCCTCTTCTCTCCCCATTCGTGCTACATGCCCTTGCCACCTCATCCTCCTTGACTTTTCATACTTATGACAAGGTGAAATTCCCTGCTTTGAACGCATGTATATAACAATTTGAATCCTTACGGTGTTGGATTCTCACTATTATGGAGTGAAGTTTCGCCGCTTTGGATTCGTACTAATAACGCGCGTAAGTAGCAATTTGTATTGCCCTGAATTCGTACTTAGCAGCAAGTGACCAGTCACTCTCGGATTCCTGTTAATGTTTGAATATTTACCCGTTGTTAGCGTACGTATTCATATTTTCTTCGTAGCTTATTTAACGACGCTTTCAGTATCAAGATCGTATAGCGTCAGTTGATGACTGATAATGGTTGTGGCCTGATCGAGGTTTTATCCCAGTTTTTCCCTCTAGGGACTGAGAAAAATCATGAAAACCTTAATAAGGATAGTGGGTGTCCCGGCC